GCCCAACAAGACAGGATTTCTATAAACAAATTGTCTCTGGCCAAACTCTGCGTCTGATCAAATCTGAGTGCCACAGTATTCACATATCCCATCAGTCACAAACAGCCAGACGCCCCGTCCGCAGGACGCCAACAGCAGGAAAGACTCGCCGGTGATCTGGCATTTGTAATTAAATATTAAACCAGTAATGAGTTCTCAGCCATCTACATGGTGTGGAGTTCACATGCGAAATCTCCAAATAGGGCCCCTGGAGAGACAGGGTCCACACTTAGAAACAATAATTATCACATCCACAGGACAGGTGGAAACGCTGCAGTGAAATGATAAAACTCCGGCGAGACTTATTAAACAGGTTTCGGTAATAAAGACTGTACAGTGCGGAGATCTCTGTTATTGTGTCGCAAATTTCCAGGCTGTATTCGCACACATCTAGAGTGCTATTTTCATTCTAGAGTGCTATTTTACGTGCTTCTCGAATAAGGCACATCCATGCATATATACATGAATTTTACATCAAACCCATGCAACCTACATACAGTCGTGTTCATGGAGCATACATAAGTCAGAATAGCCACAAGGTAAATGATTAATCTTTTTCATACCATATAATTCTCTCCTCATACTTTTAAGCTGCATAATTAAAAGCATGCTCTTTTTTTGTATTACTATCCTATTATTTATTTATTTTGCTTCCTTGGAATTGTTCACTCTGCTCTGAATTTCAATTATATTTGCAGCAGCTATCACTATGCAAATGAGGGGTGTCCTGTGTTTTAATAAAGGGAAAATGCAAAGTTCACAGTTGCTGCCATCATTCCTGTAGAGATTGTACTATTAGCAAAACATATTTTGTAAAATATATGCCAAATATGACCTGACTGAGGTCAAATCAGGAAGGAACTACTGCGAGTAATTATTATTTTTCACACCAGGGTGAGTGGTATTAAATTTGTATAATATATAGTGCTGTCAAACGATTAATCGCGATTAATGGCATCCAAAATAAAAGTTTTTGTTTACATAATATATGTGTGTATACTGTGCATATTTATTGTGTATATATAAATATATAACACATGCATGTATACAAACATATGCATGTATATATTTAACAAAAATATGTTATGTTTGTATATTAAATATATTTATATATAATATAATAATGTAAATAAATAAATATATATACATGTACATATTTTCAAAATATTGACTGTATGTGTGTGTATTTATATATACATAATAAATATACACAGTACACATACATATATTATGTAAACAAAAACTTTTATTTTGGATGCCATTAATCGCGATTAATCGTTTGACAGCACTAATAATATAACAGCATAGATATTTATTATATTTATATTTAAATTGGATTAATTTATTTAAATATATACATTTTTAAAAACCATGCAATAATGATTCTTTGTAATATTTAAATACTTTCCAAATGTAAAGGCATATTCTGTAATTTATAAATAAAATATTATAAAAAACTAACTTTTTATGTCAATTTAATTCAGCTTCACATATAAATGAAATTAAATTTAAAAAATAATGAAATGAATATTCATTAAAAGAATTGTCAGAGCAAAATACATTTACATGTAACACTCAAAGACCCATGCATTTAAAATCACGTTTTTATCATTGTTTGTCTGTCTGATGTTTTTAATGTGCTTGATAAAAGCAAACCATGCAAATTCATCAGTCAACAGCATCACTGTGCATTTTCTCCTTAAAACTGCAGCGTAGACAGTCTCAAAAATGCAGTTTAAAGCAGCACTGTTTCCTATCGTCACAAACATGTAACCAATTCCTTGTAGGTGGGATTGTAGGTGGGATTTTCATATCCATTAGCTGTCTGAGGATGGCAGGAACAAGATTTGTGAAACATTAGCAAAGCATTATAGCTGTTTGATAACCAAAGGCTAATGATATCAATTAAAGTTACTGTACGTGTCTGACATTGTAGGGAATGATACATAAAATGCATTACCATTCTGATACATGAACTTGTAGACGGCCATCTGTAATTCACTCTTCCTCTTCTTCTCTGAAAACAGTTTCTCATTCAAACATTTAATCCAGTGAATCCAATAGTGCCACCTGCCATTTTGTGGCATTTACTACTTCAGTTAACCGAGTGAAAGCGGAGCAGACAGTCTGAGCCAGAGCGGTTGCTCTGGTCTGAGCTGGTGTGATTGGGTGGAAGCGGGGACTAATTTGCATATTAATGGTTCTGCGTATACTAAATGAGGTAAGGGTGTAGAATTATATTCAAGCCATTTTAAGGCATGAAGAAATTATTAACATGGGAAAAAATGTTTACATTTTTATTTTAATTATTAAAGATGAGTTTTAAGTAATACAATTTTTGACTGCAGGGCCACTTTAAAACAAATTGATGTTGAGCATGTTTACATGCAAACCTTATAATAGTATAACCTTATAATTTATAACCTTATAAACCTTAAAACTTATAATAAAATATTTTATTACTTCTATTACAAGTCATTCAAGACTAAACCTCATGGCCCTGACAGAGACGTGGATCAAACCAGAGGACAATGCTACTCCTGCAGCACTCTCCAATAATTTCTCTTTTTCCCACTCCCCCCGTCTGACTGGAAGAGGTGGAGGTACTGGTCTCTGGTACTGGTACTGGTATCTCTAATGATTGGAAATGTAATCCTTTACCATCTCTGAGTATCAACAGCTCCTTTGAATCACATTCAGCCACTATTACCCACCCTCTTAAAATCCATTTTACAGTTGTTTATCAACCCCCAGGACCACTAGGTAACTTCGTGGAAGAATTAGATGTGCTGCTCTCAAACTTTCCTGAGGATGGTACTCCCCTAGTTATGCTTGGAGACTTCAACACCCATCTAGATAAACCTCAGGCTGCAGACTTCCACACTCTGCTTGCTTCTTTTGATCTCAAGCGAGTATTAACTACGGCTACTCACAAATCAGCCAACCAACTGGACCTTATTTACACACGACACTGCTCCACTGATCATGTGCTGGTTACTCCACTGCACACCTCGGATCACTTCCTCCTCACTCTTAACCTCAACATGGTTCCTGACACAACACATACCCCTACACATGTCACTTTTCGACGTAACCAACGCTCACTCTCACCCTCCCGGATATCTGCTATGGTTTCATCTTTGCTTCCTCCCCCTGAACACTTCCTCCTCAGTGCTCTTCTGCCCCTTGGCTATCTGATGTTCTCCGTGAGTATCGTTCTAAGCTCAGAGCTGCAGAAAGAGAATGGCGCAAATCACAAAATCCTACTGACCTTAATGTATATCGATCACTCCGCTCTTCATTCTCTGCTAATGTCTCCACTGCTAAAAAGACATACTACAACAACAAAATTAACCATTCGCCTAACTCTCGCATGCTCTTTAAAACATCTTCCTCCCTCCTTTGTCCTCCTCCTCCTCCCCCTCCTTCATCAACTCTAACATCTAACATCTTCAGAAGTGGACATTTGACCGAGACTGCCATGCTTTCAGTTGTTGAAGCCCTAAGACTGGCAAGAGCGGCTTCCAAATCTTCTATACTTATTTTGCTGGATCTGTTTGCTGCTTTTGATACGGTGAACCACCAGATTCTCCTGTCAACCCTGTTGGAAAATGGCATCTCAGGAACCGGACGCCAGTGGTTTGAGTCTTACCTCTCAGATAGGTCCTTCAAGGTATCTTGGAGAGGTGAGGTGTTTGCAAGTCGCTTTGGATAAAAGCGTCTACTAAATGATTAAATGTAAATGTAAAGCAAATCACTGATAAATATTTATATATTTAGAGCATATCATTTATTAACTGAGTTGTGTTGATAAATAACCAACCAAACAAATGTATTCCAAAATGTCAGCAGGAAACTTATACAGACTCATATTCTACTCTCATGTTTGCAGTTTCTAAGACTGTACCACTTCTCCTTCATCTGCAGGAGATGAGAACATATTTTTTATAATCTCTTATTGAAAGAGTCAGAGTGTACAACATGCATGTTTTTCTACCTCCCCTACAGTGAAACACTAGCACTGGTTGGATATGGGCTTAAATCTCCACTCAGTATAACATATAATGTTGTGCCACAGATAAATCTTTTGTAAAATGCTTGATATATATAATTCAGCTACTAGAATCTGCTTTGGATGGGGCCTTAAAATGACCCTTTTCAAGTTTTTTCCCCCTTTCATTTTGACTTGTTTAGGACATATATCAGTCTACCTAGATGTGCATGTACTGTATATCTACATATTTCTACTGTTATAAACCATCACACGATTTTAACTCACAGTATTCAAGATATCCCTACAGTTGTAGATCAGTCCTTAACAGATGTGGGCCTGTAGGTTCAAACCCAGCAAGGAGTCACACATGAGCTCTTGATTAAGACATATGATTTCAAGTTACTCCAAAATGTTTGGTGCTATAATACATGCATACAGAATAAAGCATCTACTGAATAAGCACTTACCTAAAGCTCCTTAGTAAAAAACAAACACTTTTCTTTTTGGTGTATGGGACATATTTGGATTCAGTACTCATCTATCGGCTTTATAAACTTACTCTGAAATACATTTTTTTGTTCTTATGTTTCAAATTAATGCATAACTGGATGACTGAACATTTTTCTGTACAGCTTTTAAGAAGTACTCAACACTGTGCAAGCCGAAAAAAGCCAAGTAGACTGAACTTTGGCAAGAGTTTATATCTCTGTGAGCATTATTCTTTAATTCAGTCTCTTAAAATGTTTCTGCATTCATGCCTCAATGTTTTACATTTACTGATTCAGCAAAAAGCACTCAACTTATCATTCAAGTAAATGTAAAAATAGTAGTCTTAATACTGAACACTGAACCACAGGCACCATTAGCAAACATTCTTGCAGTAATCATTCTCTAATAAGTTAGTAAGTGCAATTTCTCCAATAGGACTGCTCCTGGAAAACATTATATAACAAGGAAAAGTGCTTACCTAGGACGCCGACTCGAAAGTTGAGAGTGATAACGATGACGTTCCCATAACTGGCCAGCACGCTTGCGTCAATCATGTTTCCGGTGCCCTCCATGTACGATCCTCCATGGATGTACACCATCACAGGCTTGGCTCCAGTGTCTCGTATGTCTGCAAGAGTGGCCACCATTAAACTCTCACTCCCCCACTGCCCCATCAGAGCAAAATTCAACACAGCAGTGCGTCTCACAGTCCTCCCAGATACCAGCCACCAGCTCAATTACAGTTTGAGATGCATCTCATATCAGCAGAGTCATTTGTCTCTCGTAATGAACAGTATGCGCAAAACAGATATGAACAGATGAAGCCATATGGAAGGTCAGAACCTAACTGGCTATTGCAGGCGGCTCTAACATGCTTTAGTGGCCTAAATGATGAGATCATCTCAAATTTAATGGCCTTGTTAGACTTCGCTGCTCCGGCATACAGCCGCAGAAGGGTTTAAAACGAGCAGCAATTGGGCGGGCCAAAATTACTTATCTAATAGGGGAGCACGCTAAAAGAATTGTTCTGCCAAAAATGAAAATGACCTTCATATTGTTCTGACCCCATATTATTGTTTTGTATATGTGAAAGGCAAAATCATCATAGGCAAAAGTGAATAGTGCTTTATACTGGCAAACTCCAAAAAGGACAAAAACCACCATAAAAGCAGTCCATTTAAATATTCCACGTTCTGAAGTCAAAACCAAATGTATGCCATTATTCTCTAAAAATTCTTCAGTTGAAAAATTGGGCGGGAGGTCACAGCAGGTTTGACGTTACTGTTGCCAAATGCTGTTGATTCTAATAAAGTGTAACCTCACATCATGTAGAATTCAGAAACACTTGTTATTGGCAACACCAACTTATTTGCTCGTGCTCGCACTCATGCACACGGAACGTACTAGGCACTGAACGTGATTCAGTGCCTTGATATACTCACAGCGAATTTCTTTTTCATTCTTTGCTTAGAAGTGAAAAAGAAGTTGAAAATACATTTGCAATGATACCACTGTTAACGGATATCCCCCACGCGGCTGATAGCGATGTTTATATGAATACGTAAATATGTGCTGCACGCTTTCCTTCCAATAACAAAATAAACACAGCAAAAATAACAAGTGAGAAAACAGCAGTTAAGAAAGCATCTGATCATAGCGATATAATCATTAAGACTGCTCCAGCTCTGCATTTCACAGGCATCATGTAGACAGATGAGGTAATTAAAATTACGCTGTTATGAGAGTTTGGTAATAAAGTATATTTGAGACTATATATATCTCGTTATGTGAGACTATAGTTTGAATTAATCCATTTTCTTTGCTTTAAACATTGACACTTAAGTACAGAATAGCTCTTTCGGAACATTGTATAAGCATTTGTTATGGAAGAGAGGGTCTCGGGAGCATGCATAAACGTCACAATTCCCCTGCAAAAAAATGTCCTTCACGTAAATATCAGTCTACAAGCATTCAAAGCCATAGTCTTGTTTTTTAAAGCTTTCCTACAAGCTGTTCACACATTGGCAATACAAAAGGTGATTAATACGTGACAATTCTTACATATAGCCCATTTAAATCTTAAAACAAAATTCTTAAGAATGACTTAAAAAAAAAATCTATTATAAGACATAGTGCACACATTGTATGGACTCATTTTTGGAGCTTGTCAGTAGGCTATACCACCATTCAGTTTCATAAAATGGAAAACAGAAGCTTGAACATTCTATACAAGATCTCATTTAGTGTTTCCTTGAAGAAAGATTATAGTACAGGTTTATTATAAGAAGATTTGTATTTTTGGCCAAACCATTCCTTTAAAATGCATCACCATAAGTTCCTTATTTCGTTAAATGCTTTTGTATAGAAATGAATCAATCGACCATTATCAGTGTGTTATTTTCTGCTAATCACATAACATAAAACAGAAAAAGAACACGAGCTGTGAAAACTGTCTACTGAGATGAAAGAGACAGAAGCCTTGGGAAGCGAGCACTGCTGGGCTAAGACTCAATATGCTGTATTGTATTGAGGGTTGCCATGGATACGGCAGATCAAAATTCAGAATCTTTGAGAATGGCTAATCGCAAACACCACTCCAGTGCATTTGCACCCGTTTGCATTCAAGCCCTCCTATTAAAGATGTGCCTATTTGCATTTATGCGGTCACAGCAAATTACCGGCTGGCTTTTTCTTGCAAAAAAAGCATGTTATTTGCAATCACTGTGCCACTGTCTGAGCTTAATGTCTGCTTTACATGGCAAGAACGCATTCACACGTTACGCTCCTGATCTGATGGAACAAGCGAGAATTGATTTGTATAGATTTTTTCCATTTCAGATCCGGCAGCTGAAACATTTACGGTTACGTTTAAAGATTTATCTGGTATCTGAGAGAAGTATGATAAGGCACTGCTTTGAAATGACAATTCTCTGTTGACACTTATCGTACGGAAGAAAGACAATGTATGGAGTGGGAAAAAAGAAGGTGAGAGAGAAAAAATGCACAAGATTCCCTGCACAAGGGATGCACAGGATGAGATACCGAATGAAAAAGATCAATTAGAAAAACAGTACAGAGATTAGTCATGTCAATGTTATCAGTAACCTCTTTTGTCGATTCACATCATGTTGGTTTGTTGTGACATAAAAGCATAATACTCTGCTAACTGATCTCTTCTCTATCAAATAATCACATATAACGTCAACATCAAAATCAAGTTATCCCATTGAAGACACATTAAAAAAGATTCAGAATTCACATCCTGAGGAAAAAGAAGAGAAATATTGATTAAAATGCATTGTAAAGACACTTGCATTTCACAAACACATCGCTTGAATAAACAGGACATAAATGACCTTGAACAGAAGGGGTGAAACTATAGAACATTAACTAAAATGTCAGCTTCATGAATGTACAAATATGTTCCTTGACATGAAAACATGACTCATTCGCTATGACACACACACACACACAGACTCACAAATAAATGCATATGTTTCATCTTCAAAAGCAGCGGGCGGCATGCATCTATTCCTTTATATAACCTCCATCAATCATCTCCAAGCGAACTAAAGAAGGTGAAGACCCCTGCTTCCTTATAAATGAAAAAACACTTAACACCTCTGAGCGCACGATGGGTAGAACGACCTTCTTCACAAAGTCTTCTGCGTCTCCATCAGAGTTGTGGTTAGGGTGTTAAAATATGGTGAATGTCAGACCCGGGCGGCAGCGCTCAGCGTGTCTGCAAAGCTCAGGAGGAGGACGCGTCAAGCTATCTGTGAACCTCTCAAAATTCTCAACGGGCCACCTCTCAACGGCCTGTCACTCTCGAGGAACTGGACAGCGTGAGCACTGATAAGTGGCCCAGACTAGCACTGATGCTGTAAAACATGGAATCTGTCAAACATTTTTATTGTGAGCATTGTATGAGCTCCCGAGCCGAGGTTTTGACTTTAGACCCCACCGCTGAGCTCATCACAGATAACATAAATATTGAAGATCGACAGTTCCAGGTCAGACTGAATATAACTGAAGCCAGCATGGCTCGGACTCTGCAGGGAAATACATAATATACACATGCAGCCTTTATACAGCGTCTACCTCAAACTATCTACAACTATATACATATGTAAAATTTGATGAAGACCTTTGTGACCATTAAACAAGCATGTTCTATTAACTACACATTAATAGGCTTCTATAGCTTCACTGGGTTACATTTTATTTTAAAGTGTACTTGTTACAGTGTAATTATACATTTATGTACTGAGTAATATTAATTAACTACATGTACTTACTATATTATTTAGGGTTGGGATTAGGGTTTGTCTTAGGGTTACTTGCATGTACTCTGTTCTAGTCTGGATGCTGACTGAAATCCATCCTAACAACCCATGCATTGCATGCATATTATTATAATAGTAAGTACCAATGTAACATGTGTAACAAGGACACTTTAAAATAAAGTGTTACCCTTCATTGTATATTGAAGTGTCCTTCTCATGCACACTTCAGAAGTAGAATGTCATCTGGGTATTTCTTGTCTATGAATACTGCAAATTGGGACATGCTACTCATTTCACATACTGCTATTCGCACTCAGTTTAGTAAGAGAGTAGGCATATTGGGATGCGGGGGATGATGATGCTGCAGTGTTTGCACCACAACTTTTAATAGATTTTTAATACCACATATTGGCAAAGTGAAATGCAATAGGTTTGCATGTGGCAATTTGTAGACTTTGATTTCAACGGCTCAACCTTAATCCAGATGGGGACGAGTGACCTTTGAAGAAGGTGGGTTCTTGAGGCTGGGCTGCGGTGTTTGTGCATTAAATATAATGGTACTAACACAGAGACAGGTGGTTTGATGTGCTCTTTGAAGCCCAGCTTCTAGCAGTGAATGAGGAGGAGGGAGAGACCGAGAGAGAGACAGAAGAGGGAGAGGGAGGGGGAGGGTGTAGACAGTTTGCTCTGAAACTCACTGCACCACCATGCATACTCCACATCAGACACCTCACACACTACTAACCAAAAGCACTACTGCACACACACCTGCAGAGAGCTTATAATTATGCAAAATGACCATACTCTCATTTGCATTATGATGAAAAACAAGAATTTGCGGCAATTTCCTGAGACTGATGCCAAGGAAAATAGACTTTTACAAATACCTAGTGTGGTATTTGGTCACCCAGTGTGACCTACCACCACACTGCTGCGGTGTCTGGGTGGTTGCTAAATAGCCCAGGTCAAAGAGTTCACCCTCAACTCTTTATGATGTTCTGGTTTCTTTAGCAGATTCATGACCCTCCTTCAGTGTGAAGGCATATTTTCACTAGCACGAAATTTGGCCCAAATTTTGCATACGATTTGTCTGTTCAGACCAAAAAAATAAAATAAAATAAAATAAAAATCACAAATGGACTGAATGAGGGGAATTTCACTTTCTGACTTCGGTGACAATTACAGAAAAACATAAATACCCCAATTAACTTGCTACACAAAACGCTACATGATTTCCTGTTTCTAAAACTCACGTTTCACAGAAAATATAGAGGAAGTAAAACAGTATTCACAAATTTTTCAAACAGATGTTCAGATTTTTTTGTATCTAATATGGTGTTTA